GTTATCAGTGTCTGTGATATGGTGTAATATTGAAGCCCTAAAACATTATTGCGCTTCAAAATGATCAAGAAGTGCTTCTAAAAAGTAATAAATCATTGAATGATCGATTTTACCATACTCATTTCCCCCAATAGACTGTAGTGTTATAAAAAACCGTTCGGAACACAGTTTTTGAAATTTGGAATTCCAATCATAATATCTTGATAATCAGACAGGCGATCGCCTTGTAAAAGTCACGGGATTCCTAACTGACCTAAAGGTACATAATTAAGATTGCAGCATGAGCTAAATCCAGGATTTTGTTTAGAATCCGAGGCAAAGATATCCAATCCCTTTAAAGGGAATGACTGATATACCGTCAACTCCTACCCCCTATCATTAGCATGGAGTTATTAACATACTATCTTACACTGTAATAAATAGATCCCATTTATCACTGGACATTGACAGGTCACTGGTGATCTGTTTTAACGGTTAATGAACCAAAGGCCATTTTGATCCCTTATGTGTCGGTGTACATGTAGACCTATTCATCTCCATGACATCATAGCTTTGTACACCATGTCGACTTCAATCGAATCTATTAATCACTTTAAATCTAGTGTGAAGTCCAGTATGATGTTAGTGTTGTGTGTGGAATGCATTCAATATACTGTCTTTGTACTCAAAAACAATTTTGTCCTCCGATTTCGAGAACAAGGAAGCTTATCCCCCCCCCCCTCCCACTTTTTTTCTTGTTACATTAGACCTGTTTATTAATAGATTGTTTAATTTACGCATGTTTCTCTCCCGAACTTTTGATTACCAACTACTTGCTTCAAATGCTATGCAAAACGGAATCCCTATGAATGCAATTCACTTTGCCTACATTAGTCGGGCAAGTCTCTAGAAAGCTTTTTCAGTCAACAAGAAATAAAAATCTTCAAAAAGTATGAATGAAATCAGTAAACGGGTTTATTCTTGCGTTTCATAGCTACTATATCGTTTTCATCAAAATAAGTAAAATGCGACATCTTCCATTCTTTGCTCGAGCTTTAAATAACTCATAAAAACGGATGGAAACCATGACGACATTGGACAAGCTGAACCGGCTAACTCACTATTCATTGATTTCTTTTTACTCCAATCCCTTGTTGCCAAACTTCCTCTTTGTCTATTTGCCCCGACACGAATGCTGGTAACCTTATCTCTAGCACCATTTTCCTGATTTTAAAGCACGGCCGTATCAATAACACTCTCCTTATGCATCTTATGAATGAACTGGTCTCCGAACTAAACATATATTTCACAAAATACGTGCCCATGGATTTATGTTAAACAGAGATTACTGTATTTGCAATGAAGGAGGTATCCATAGGTTACAGTCCGAGGACATAGATATATCATTATTTGTATATTGTTCCATGAATGGGTAGTAATTTGTTCATACCATTCATTGCGAAAAAGGGTGTTTTCCATTTCTATGAAATCATTTTTATATTACGATTCCAATGCCGTTTTATCATAACGGATTTAGGAGGGCACATCCGCCCCTACTCCATCCCATTTAATTACCCAAGTGGCATTGAAGTTACCCCCATCCCATTTTGAGCTGATGACATTTTTTCTTCGGATTTCTCGTTGTTGTTGTTTTTGTTCTTGTCTTTTAGTTTGTTCGTTTCTCTGTTTTGTGTCTGTTTGTATGTTGTGTGTTTGTGTATAAGACAGTCAGAAATATCACTGAGATAATATCGCGTATAAGTATCGCTGAAATCAGATTTAGAGTCGTTTGAAACAGGCGAGTGGACGACGTATATCTTCATCCTATTATATGTACACCTTCATCATCATAATGCTGAGTGTAATGTGATATTCAATAGCTCTGCCTAAGAGATTTATGATTCAAGGTTAGAATCATAATCTATGTGAGAGTCAATACTCACTCCAATGCATCTGGAAGGTCAACCTACTTTACCAAGTGTATGCGTCCTTCATTGCGAATACATATACCACTCCATGAAGTGAAGTGTGTGTGATTTTGTTCTCTCTCTCTCTCTCTCTCTCTCTCTCTCTCTCTATCCCTCTCTCTCTCTCTCTTTCTTTCTCTATTTCTCTCTCTCTCTCTCTCTCTCTCTTCCTCTCTCTCTCCCTCCCTCTTTCTCTCTCTTGGTATCTTTCTTCTTTTTTTTCCTTCTCGTCTGTCTCGAATGACGTTTGTTTTAAATATACAGGTAGGCTTTTTTGACGCTGTGATTATTTCGTTTATTAGCCTGAGAGCACTGCTTGGATTTTTAGTATTTCATACATTTTTTTTTTTTTTTAATTTCAAAAGCATGGACACGTTTATCATATATCAGTTCCAACGATCTTGTCGTTCAGTTTAGAATTAAATTGAAATCAGAATATAATACTTACAAACTTGAATAAACTTAAATACATCATGAAGAGTATGATATGGAAATTCAGGCCAAAAAGAAGGTAACATATCTCCCTTAATCAAAAGAAGACAGTCGATCTATCTTGTCTAGGACATGGTTTCACCAGTATGTGTTTTGCTTTTATGGCTATTATTTCAATATTAAGACGTACTCTTTTTTTTATATCCATGATATTCAACTCTCTTTTATTCGTACGAAATCCCAATTTCGTTTGAATATAAGATAGATAGAATTTAATCGCCTCATGGCGTGGGACAGTGAATTATCGAAAGGGTAAACCCTTTAAACTTTTAATTTGCATGCATGCATACAGTGTGTGGGATGATGCACAGAGTCGGAGAATGAATTGATAAAAAAAAAAAAATTAAATCAGCTGCATTCATGGATGAATGTAATTAATACAAGTTTGTAAGAAAACGAACAGGAATCGATATACCCGTTTCTGTCTATTCTGATTAGACAGACAAGGTCATGTACAAGTATGTCTCTTTTCACAAGTAAAATGTCATTGACCTGCACAACTATCCATATCTATTTCTTCCTTCTGTTTCACCAGGGAAGAAGCATGTCTTTTCCCCAGGAGACCAACTTTCAATTACACTGTAATACATGAATATTCTTTACTGTTTATGTGATTATGTTAGATTTATACTATCTTACCATGTCAAATTGTTTATGACTATGTTATTGTTTGATATATCACCCATAGGCCTTCTTAAGCCGGCCGTCTGATTTTTTAATCAATAAATAAACATGCTAAAATTAAAAGTAAACAAAATTACGCGGTAAATTTTAAAATCAAAATGCACTACATCGGTAGTTGATGGCGTCATGCTACACAAAAGATCGTTTAACATTGGCGTAGTCTTTGACGATTCACTGGAGAGGGGGTACCGATCTTGCAAGGTGGGTTAAATACGGATGCCTAAGGCCAATGGTTTAGCGTGATGGATGGGAGTCATGTTCATTTTACGTTCTCCCCTTTCTTCTACCCCCCCCCCCGGCCATTTACCCCCTCCCCCTCTCTCTCTCTCTCTCTCCCCTCCCTCCATCCCTCTCTCTCTCTTTCTCTCTCTCTCTGTCTCTTTCTCACCCCACCCGTGTTTTCCTTTTCGCTATTCAAGGGGGAGGGGGATATGCCCCCCTCCTCAAAGCCTCGCCATAATTTACGGTATTATCTTAATAACGTATATTGAAAGTGGGGACTAGTCAGACGAAATAAAATGTGATAATTCATATGAATTTGTCATCCATTAACACGTTACGACTTCTTTCTACTCAAAAGAAAAATGATCCTGTGTATTGATTGAGATGAAGTCTTTCCTGTCATCGATTTCTAGTCGAGGTCCCTTGACACGGGGTTTCCTTTCCCTACTAATGTGCTGATTCTCGTCAAGTAAAACACCAATCCCTGGGGTAGCCGATTCATAATGCCTAGAAAATCTTCTCTTATTCACCGACAGCAAGATACGAGCTCCTCGTGGAATCCACGTGCCAATTTCGATCTCTGCTTACTCGCGCAAACAAAAATAATATTCCGAATGTGGACGAAGTATTGAGTGATAAAGTGAATCATGTGATATGGTTTAGTGGTTATGTCCCCATAGTGCGGATCTTGGTTCAAATTACTATCATGGTATTCATGTCGTGACCGATTTTAGAAATCGAAATCTGCCAGCGTGATAAGAAACTTAAAGGCCTACAGAACACAATAACTGCAATTTTAACTGTATTGCCCTCACCAGTGTTAACCATTATTTTCGTTATGATAACGGGCGACCAGAGCCGCCTGAAAATGGAGCAGTAGTATTAATAATGAGCTTACAACTTTGTCGACAATTTTTTTTTTTTTACTTGGAACGGGGAAGGGCCGTCTCCTTTTCCCTTTTATTTTCTACATGTTCCTGAAATATAATTGTTTCAAGCCGTCGCTGTTTTCTCTACTAATCTACGTGGATTTGGAGTTCCGCCACTGACAACTCTATACATTATAGAGATTGCGATGAGTCCACAGGAACGAGACATTAGCAAATAAATCGAGACGGTAAACTTTGCAATGACGGGCGTCTTCTTAAAACAAATCGTTTTCTGCAAGTAAATCAATACTAATCAAATGTTCCAAGAGACTCAATATCAAAGGATTTACTTAAATCTGTTTGAAGGGAATCCCTGTCACTACATCTCTCTTTTTTGTGGTGGATTAGTAATTCTCGTCTTGTTTTGTTTATTCAAGAGACAGAATATGCCAATCATCGACTAATGAGTACATCAAGATAAATGATAGGGAAGCACAACTGTTTCGGGCATTGCCTGCAATTTCTCGTTTAGATGTTCTAGTTTGGCTAGGAGGGATTGGACCACCAAGGGAGGTCACTGACAGGTGGTTATCTCATCAAATCAGCTCTCAATCAATATAAGAAAAAGAGGATCATGAAGGACCAATGGTCACCGATTATGCATGGTTTTCTAAATAGAGGGAGCAAGTAGCTACAAGTAGTACAGTGGGGCTTTAATGTTTCGCAGTGGCATGAAATCAATCTGACCATTTCTGTATGCAAATGAGGCGCGTGCAGCTGTCCATACCTGTGCAGTTCTTGGGTGAGTCGAGATAGAATGATGATAGGGGTGGGTCGGTAGACTCGGTCTCTGATGACGGCAGCAGGCAGTTGAATCTCTCCTGCCAGAAATCTCGAAACCAAGGATTCCTGGTGTTGTTTTCCGGACTGAGACCAAAGTAGTAGGAATCGAAGTCGTGGTAGTGCTCGGTGTGGGGTTTGATGGAGATCGCACCGATCGCTTCCTCCTCGACGCCACGGACGACCTCCTTACGATTGGCCCAACCATCACTGGGCAATGGGGAAAGAGGGAGAAATGAATAGTACAAAATTACGATTTTAATTCAAATTGAAATTACAACTATTACAAAATGTATTTAAGAAGAAATCGTTAACCTACTATAAAATAAATTATGTATTTTAACCGGTGAAAATATCATATGTATCGATGTATAATTATGCTTACAGGTTGTATATTTGAATATCTTCAATATGATTTACTGACAATGCTTTATAGTTATGTAGTTATACCGGGAGGAGACATCTGAGGGTCAAAGTAATTCAGTTCACGTTTCCCATCCCATGCTGACGCCTAATACTTAGTAATAATACTAGTAATAAAACGTGTTTTTTTTTTAATTGGATAGTTATTACGACTTATTCATTAAGGGACCACTTTTGAAAGAAAATGTTCAGTTATGTCGGACCAAATTTGTTTAACAGTTTGCCATCAACTCTTTAACAAATGTCAACTAGATATCTTCATATCAAGAAATAAAGAAATTATTGAATTAGCTGACAGAAATATATGTTGAGGGAAGTTTACATTCCTCAATCACACATTCAAGATGTCAGATTGTCAGATGTGGTTTGCCACAACGTGTCTCATGACCACCCCATCCTCTCCTTCTTTCCCCCTTGCATCCGTTACTGCAACTATTGAGAATTATTAGGAACTCTCCGCCAATGCATGCACTCACCTTCCTATCACAAGATACTTCCCAACCTTGCCTTTCCTCCTGGTGGCCTTCAAGAGCTTCGTAACAGTGATGCCCTCACAGAAACAGACCACAACATGAGCTGTACGTGTGTTTTCCAAGGTGTCTATGATCTTATCAAACTCCGACGCCTTTGAACCGCTGTAGATACTAGCGGAAGCTGCAATGCAGATTCCACGGGCTTCGGCGAGGGCACGAAACGCCTGCATTCCGCTTTCACCGTAGTTACCTGAAAAGAGCAGATAGAATGTATGATGAAATAGTAATTATCGTATAATAACTACACAATTGGGCACATATGGGACTATCAAAAAGGACATTGGAAAAATCAACATTCTTTTATGCTTTTCTGCAAAATTAGGTAAACGTCTGTGGAGTGACTTTAAAATCAATACCAATTGAGTGGGCTCTTCATTTCTTTTCGTTTCTTAATCATACCGAATAAAAATAAAGTTTTTTTTCTATTGATTGCATATTCCCGTTCACAAAAAAGCCGGCTGGCTAAAAAAATCTGGAGGATATTAATTTGATTTGATTTGATTTGATTGATTTATTTCTGTTTGATTTTCTTTTTCTTTTGCATTTAATGAAAATCATTTTTAAATATATTTTGGGTTGACTGGGTAACTGTGATGCAAAGAGTATATTTGGGCACACGGATTTTCATAAAAGCGGCATGGATGGTCAACATTAGTTATTGTAGTTTATTTAATGCCAGTCAGAATGTATACTAAACCTCTGAATCATCGCTACTATAGTGTATTCTAGCACTAAGTGGATATCAAATTACTATCAACAGATTCCATGATTATTATCAACAGACATAGCAGAGAACTGACTTCTAAACAAAAATGGTATAAATGGAAAAGGCATTAAGTCCAACAGATGCCATATTCGTGAATTGCATCGAAAACATAACCAATGTGGAAGACAACCATTAATACAACCAAGTACGATAAACAGTTGATAAATAGAATTGAGTAGGAATACTCCCTCCATCCTCGTAAAACTCTTACATCTTACCGCTTTATAGAGGCCATTAGAGTGAATTTTGCAAATGTTCAAAGCAATCTACTTACAAAGTTGACAAAACTCGCGCACAGATGCTGCTTACATAGTTACTTCGCAATAAAAAAGACACATTTTTTAAAAGAGCGAAGTTCAACAGTCCTATGCATCCCGTTAAAAAGTGGGGCTTTTTTAAAGATGGAAATTGCTTTTTAATGCTTTGACGGATTAACACAGACAGGTGGTAATAAGCACGGTGTAGTGTGACGTAATGATGACGTCACCGCTAGAAGACACATCGTTGGCAACCAGGGGCGTCGATGCAGCATCTTAGGTGTGGGGGGTCTGACGAAACTTACCGACATATTTTTTTGGAAATATATTAGGGATTGAACAGGGATTTAAACAATTTAAAGAAGAGGGGCAATCCCCAAATAATTTTTTTTTTCGAACACAATTAGAAAGTTGCCGACAGAAATGCTAACTAAGGGTTATCACTCCGCTGCCCCTCCCCTTCCCCTTTAGTGACGCTTCTGGACAATGCAAAGCTCAACGTCGTTCGTTTGCTTGCTCGGCTTGTTTGAGCCATTCCACTGCCAGTTTTGTCACGCCATCCAACTGCGCTATATATATATAATATTAAGACGGTGGTTTGTCGAAAAATTTAGATCTATCTTTAAAGTCCTAACGCAATGTAACGTCGAAATTCGTGACATTTCCTGACATGGAGTAAGCCAAGTTCTCAGCACAGCATAGGAGAATAACTGGATGGTTGAGGTGGAAAAGGGTTTCAACATCCTAGTCAATGAATTGGTCTACTTAGCCTTCATTATAAATTCTAACAATTTTACAATTAGTAACAAAAAAAGCATGTCTTTATACCCTCATAATAATATTTTGTTTTTTTGTTTTTGTTGTAGAGGTGGAGGTTTGGTTAACAACGTTCATGATTACATCGTATGAACGATGTTTTTCTGTTTTGGGCTTTTGTTTCTGTTTGGCATTGAAAAGTCATGTTTCAAATGTAGGGTATATCCCCTACGGCGGAGGACTCATGTATATTCCTCATCAATCATAAAACATGCCCAAGAACATTTTTAGTGTAAACTCCAACAAAATTTTCAACATGAACTTTTAAAATACTTCCAAGGTAACCCCACGAGAAAATGAAAGACTTGATAGGTAAAGAACGATACATCTTAATACTGACATACATGACATTTCATTACAGTTCACTGCCCCCCCCCCCCTCTCTCTCTCTCTCTCTCTCTTCACTCTCTCTCTCTCTCTCTCTCTCTCTCTCTCTCTTTCTCTCGCTCTCTATCTATATATATATATATATACATATATATATATATATATATATATATCTTTCTTTCCGTCTCTCTCTCTCTCTCTCTCTCTCGCTTGAACAATATAAACATGGTAGATATGATTTATAGAAAAAAAGAAAAAATGGAATCATTGGAAATAGGTTGAGCTGTGAAGAGAGAGAGAGATAGAGAGAGATTGCGGATGGATAGTTCCTAAAATAGAAGGGAAAAATAAGAAAGAAACAGAAAATAGAAATGTAGAATTTGGATGGATTGGGGGAGGGGTAAAGGTGCGCTACAAACCACAGAGCGGAGATAAAAGGCGACACGAGTGGAAAGAGTCAAGCGGGCTCTGATTAACCTCTGAAAACAGGGAATCAGGCCCATCAATCCATCTTATGGTCTTTTAATCCGTCACAAGATACCTCCACAGAGAGAGAGAGAGGAAACATAGCTCACAGCCATCTCCATGTTTGTATGTCAACAACCCAAGTCACCATGGACTGACGTAGCATTCACTTATAATCCCAGTACAACTCGTTTAAAAGGAGTTAAAGGGAACCTGACTCGGTGCAAAGGTTGCAATGTAAAACAACCAGTGCTCTCTGCTTTTTCTAAAGTGGGCTTAGGGGTCGAAACGCCCAATGAAATGTAATAATAAACAACCGCGCGCTCTCTTTGTCTACCACTTCTTCTCTCGCTTTTCTTTTTTCCATTTTTTCTCTACCTCCATAAGCTCTGTAGCTTTTTCTCTCTGTCAGTCTATTTCTTCCCTTTTCTTTCTTTATTCACATTAACACATAAATGCTTTAACCCCTATCTATTTATTATTTAGTTTGCCCTTTTCCCCTTTTTCTTTCTCTTTTCTTTATTTTTTCCCTTTTTTTCTTCTCAAATTCAAATCAGATGAGTGCAATTGTTTTAACTAGTACCAAACATTTTAGTGCGCTTTAATTATCTGCGAAAGAAATACCCGTCGCTATTTCATTAGATTACAAAACAATTAAATTCATTTTATCACATGGAAAACTAACAGCAGCAGTGCAGGTGGTTTATTGCCGGGAGACCCGTGTTTTTAACGCTTAGCCGACAAGCTACATGTATTAGCGTTAATGTCATGTATTATGGAAGAGATCCATTAGTTTTCCATCGCTTGAAGACGAAACAAATATAGATAGTGCGAGCTAGATCACCTGTTTACTTATATTTTTAGATGAAAACAAAACCCAGCTGATATCGTATCATACCGTGCTAACGCAAGCCGAGGTAAGCTGAGGTCGTGTGCATTCAACCAGGTCCATGATTCAACAGTGCATTGGTCATTTTGAGTAAAAAGTAACCGATGGGTCAATTTCTTTAGACTCAATTAGATCCCGTGATAGATGAATTGCAGGTACTCTAATACCCCATTCACAGTGGTTTTGAAATTTGTAGCGGCGTTGTAGCGGAGCGGCGACACCGCCATAACACCGCTACAAATGCATTCACAGTAGAAAAGTTATCCCGCTGCAGCAGCGGGATAAATATCATGTACCCATTCACGCTGCAGCGGGTGATTTTTATTACCTCCGTAACAAACACGTGTATGCATGGCTCATGACCCGCGAGTGACCCCGATATTACCGGAAATACTTCAGCGCGGGGTTTTAGGGTAAACATGTCAAGTTGCTTTTTGTATCCTGGATCATATTACTTTTTAAAAAACTAGCATTTTTATTGCTTCCAGTCAGAATATTTTAATTTTTTGAAGTGTGAAATATTTTTATTTGGATAATTATAAATCTACATAATAATAAAATCAATTTGAATCCACTGGTTACTTTATTTCTATTTCACTTTATGTTCCCCTTTGCTGGAGAAAAGAGGTCAGTGATAGGTAAGTAAACAAATCACACGTGTTTGTCGCGGTGTTATAGCGGAGAGCCTTCACACTGAGTAAACACCGCGACAGCAGCGGGACTGTCCCGCTGCTGTAGCTAGGCGAGCCTAGCGATAGTTTGTCGCGGCGTTATCGCGAGGCGGTGTTATCCCGCGATAGTTTATAACGGGTCCGAGTCTTCACACTGAAGACAACACCGCGACAGCAGCGGGACAGTCCCGCTGCTGTCGCGGTGTTTGAGGCCACTGTGAATGGGGTGTTAGTTTCCTGTGAAAGGGATTAGATTATTAGTACTTCGATTGCCAGTCTTGTTTTGTGCACATTTCGATTACGGAGATTGGGAGTAAGAAGGCACTTTTTAGTGAAAGAGAGTACAACATCCATTTTATGTCCTTTATTGGAAGAAAATAGTTATCTTGACAAACGCGAGAAAACGGTTGTATAGACAATGCAAATTTGGAACATAGTTTGTTACTAGTAATGTCCTTTGGCAAGACATTGATCTATATTTGCTACATTCCACCCAGGTGAAGTAAATGGGTACCTGGTAGGAATTTATTCCTTGAAATGCTAGAGCGCCGTATGGCAGCCGTGCTAAAGCCAGGGTAATAATCGGGAGCGCCAGGAGGGTCAAATCTGACTGACATGAGCGCTATACAAGAACCTACTATTATTATTAGTAGTAGTAGTAGTAGTAGTATTAGCAATAGTTACATGTCTAATTTCCTCTTTGTAAAAAGCACTCATAACACACAACACAAATTCGATCAGCTTAATAACTACTTTTTGAAAAACTTAGATTCATTAACAAATTGCACTAACATTTTAGCAGAATAATCATAAAAGATATTCAAATTCCGTTTTACTACAGTTATATGATCGGGGTGCAAATAGCGCGTTCTCCGTCCATTTCGGTGTTGTTGTGTGTTGTTTTTTTGCGAGCACCCTTCCATTAAAAAAACACACACACAAACTATTAATTAAATCTATGACAAAAGTGCATCGATACTCTTCTCTGTGAAGTT